ACCAAAGTAAAAACAGTTTTTTAAAGAAGATTTTACAAAAAACACAAGGACAACAACCGAATTTTTATTTATAGATTGATCGGATTCCTCTAGTTTTGGATAACCACATTGAAGCTTGTGTGAAAGTATGTTGTTTATTTGCTAAATTTAAAAGAAGAAATTATAATAAAGCACCATTGTTATTTCTTTCTGATTTATGACAATTGGAAGACATCAAACATCCTATTTTTGATACTTTTAAAATGCATCTTGTAACTTTTAATAATTATCAAGTTGAAACTAACATTCATTAATCTGAATGCAAACTAGAGAAGCAGTCAATAACGAACAACTTACAAAAGCAGCTGTGTTATTGACCATCTTCGTCATGATATATTTCGAAATTCATTTGTTGCCAAAAAAGTATCCTAATTGCAAAAAAGATTTATTAGGTAAAATTTATATATAAATTTGAAAACTTTAGTTCTTAATGAGATATTGCAGCTTACAGGTTTAACAGGATTATTTTTAACTAAAATAAAACTTCCAACGAAAGGTATATATGTTCTTCCAAAATAATTTGATCATGACCGGTTTTTTTTATTAATTAAATTAATTAAACCTTCCTAACAACAACAACAAAAACAGCCTGTACAACATTTACAGGAGGATTTACAACACTCATAGAAGAGTTTACAACAACAACAGTATAAAAAAATTTCTTTAATACCAAATATAATAAGAAATATAATAAACTGAAAAACATATGAAACGATATTAAACAACACGAGATATAATAGTTTTATGACTTCTTGCTCTAATTTTTCTTCATGAACAACCATTGAGAGCACAATAGACAACAATGTGAGTTTTATTACTTTAAATCCAAACATGATGTATCTCAGTATCTTCAAATTTTCGTTGTTAAGTTTATAATTACCAAACCATTGCTTATAATTTGATTCACCTAGATTGAAATGATATTTTGCGAGTTAAAAACAAGTGAATAATTTCATGGTAATAGTAAATTAACAACTTACAAATAAAAACACCTATGAAGCAATGAAAACCTTCTCCTACGATGCCAATAAGGCAAGCCTGTACAAATCGAGGTATAAGTTCACATCCCAATACGATTACGAACAGTATGGTGCCGTGTTGTTGCCCTTCCTTGATGAAAAATTGATAATACGAATAAAACGTTATGGTAGTAATTGCGAGAGAAATAGGACTCCATACAACCTGTAACTTAGTCAAAAAACCCGCCTCTTTATTATTGAACATTGTAATGTTTTTCTTAAAAAAAAAAAAGAAAAAAAGAAATATGTAAATATGGTAAATTTTTATTTTTTGCAAGGGAATTTAACAAATTTTCACTATTGTGTCAACCAAATATGGTCTAATTTTCTCACCAATATAAGATATTTGTACATACGCACATACTATATACACCATTAACTATTTCTTAAACAGTCAGAATTAAAGTTTTGATCATTCTTATTGGTCAATTTAACGATCACCAAAGTAAAAACAGTTTTTTAAAGAAGATTTTACAAAAAACACAAGGACAACAACCGAATTTTTATTTATAGATTAATTGGATTCCTCTAGTTTTGGATATTTATTCAGCAACTTTCAGGCCAGAAATCTGAATAACCACATTGAAGCTTGTGTGAAAGTATGTTGTTTATTTGCTAAATTTAAAAGAAAAAATTATAATAAAGCACTATTGTTATTTCTTTCTGATTTATGACAATTGGAAGACATCAAACATCCTATTATTGATACTTTTAAAATGCATCTTGTGACTTTTAATGATTATCGAGTTGAAACTAACATTCACTAATCCGAAGGCAAACTAGAGAAGTAGACAATAATGAACAACTTACAAAAGCAGCTGTGTTATTGACCATCTTCGTCGTGATATATTTCGAAATTCATTTGTTGCCAAAAAAGTATCTTTTACTATTCATCATTTATTCATCTAATAATAAGAAATAGATATACAAAGTAAATATATTATACCAAACTATTACTTTAACAATAATTATAGAATGAATACCTTGTTGTATCCCCCTTCAGTTTTTCTTTTAGTAGCTTCATTTATTGTTTA